AAATGACATAGTTGAGCCTCTACATCTTGTGGTTCTTAACCTTTATACTAGAGTTGACAAAGTGCTAGTCAATAAGCCTTTTATTTTAAGAGCTACCTTCCTTCTGTAACTTGATTTGTGCCACTATTAGAGCCTCCACTTGGAATATTATTGCTTTTTCGTTTTTGACTCATGTACTTTTAACTTGTTAGTTAAATTTGTGTCTTTTAGGCTGCAACAGTTCCATGATACATCTTCAAGGATATGAACATGTACAGCTAAGCACAATTGATAACAGTGCATCTAAATTCCAAAATCAATCTCCATAATAGTCTGTGTGTTTCCTATTGCCAAAGGGGCCCTTTAGAGTAGTAAGAGAAGATCTTCACCCTGAAACCTACAGCGTCCCTTTTCAGCAGGAAGTAGCTAAGAGAATACGCCATCCCCTTTTCCTTATGAATCAGGTGAAGTCTCTCTCAGGGAGGAGTGATAGTGAATGGCAAAGGACACACTGACAAAGGAGATTAATCAGAACTGGCTTTGACAAGCACTGTGGCAACTGGAAAATTAAAACAGACTTTCAAGGGGGGGGGAAAGGAAGAACGAACTGGGGAGGAGGGTAGAGAAAATAGTGCAACAATGAATGAATGAAAACCCAAAATCTCTGTAAATGTTCATTAAAATTAATAAAATTTAATTTAAAAAAGAAAAACCTATTAAAAAAGTTCCGGGTTCAAAACTTGACTGTGGGATTAGTTGTTGGATCATAGCCAGGGTTCTTTATTTCTGGAGCCTTGCAATTATAGACTTGTAAAGTGAGGCTTGATGGCACACAACAACAACAAAGTAAGAATAGGAGCTCTGGGGGCCTAATGGATAGGGAGTTGTGCTGCCAACCCAAAGTAGTTTGAATCCCCCAGTTGTTCCATGGGACAAAGATGGGTAATCTTCTGTGTGATTTATAGCCTCTGAAAACCCACTGGAGGGCCCACTATGATTCAGCTCTGACTTAATGGGAATGAGGTTTTTGAGAAAGTGTGAATAATACTGACCTCAGAAGATTGCTCAGAAGGTGTACTAAGTATATAAAGCACTCAGCACACAGAAAAAAACTTTCTAAGTGTCAACTCCCCATCACTTATCCCAGTCCACTTCTTGGTTGGAACTTGAGGTGGTGGCCGAGTGCTCTCAGTCAAGGCCCTTTTGTGTGATGAGACACAATGGAGTTCAAACCATGCCTTGGTTTTAAAATTTGGTTGGAACTTGGGGTTCTAAGTGGCATAGCACTCGTCTGTCCTTCTGCTGTACATAGGTAACTCGTGGTTGCTCAGAAGCTGAACACTGTGACACTGAAGTGTCAAATGCGAGAATGGTTACCCATGGTGGACAGTGTTTGGTGGCACTCCCCAATTAAAACAAGCTTGGAAGCAGGAGTGGCATCCACTTCCGAAATAGCTTGCTTCTAGAAATCCTATGAACTTGGAGAAAGGATGAAAGTTACACAAGTGTCCAGGTCTTTCATTCATAGGGTCTCTATGAGTCATGTACGACTCGACGGCACTTAACAACAACAACCTCTTTTATAAAAATGTCAGCTCTTCAGCTAGCCAGGCAGAGGAGGGTCAAGACTTTAGTGAAATACAACCTGAACCAACCAGGAAACGCACAAGATTCCAAGTTAGATCCACACTACATAAGCAAATCTTAATTTTTGAGGGAGCTCTGTTGACACAATCTGTAGGGAGTTGTACCCTTAGAGGAACGAAGCCTTCACCTTTGGCAGGGCCTCTGAGGGAGAAAGATGAGCAATCTCTTCCACTGCAGTTTACAACCTCTGCAACCCAGTGAGTGGACGGTCAGCTCTGAGTCACTTCTGGGTCAGTGGCAGTACTTTGTGAGTGACTGGTCAAATATTTGACGTCGCCAGAGGGTAAGCACCTCTGTATGCAACGGACTAATACTATAGGTTAAGACAAGAAAAATAACAGTGTTTGTGAAAGACTGGCAAAGCTGATAATAAATTAGAATCCGTTAGAGAATTGTATATATTTTTTTAACATACAGAGAAAATGGAAAGTGAATTGAGCAACTCTTCAAGAGGGTGAGGAAAAGTAACAAAGCAAGGTAATGACCCTCATCATGAAGGCCCAGGAAAAAGGAAGAGGTGTTGAATTTGCATTAAGGAAGAAAGGAGAAATAAAGATTGGATGTAAGACAATCTTTTTAAAGAAATAAAACACTAAGATGAATGGCCCAGGAATTCTGCAGAACATTCTTTTTCAGAGCTGTGTAAGAAGAAAGGAGTCCTGTTTTTGTGGATTGGGGAAAGTCTGTCTGAGTAACCTGCTCCAAGTACCATAGTAGGGAAAGAAGCTATTGCAGGGATAGGCCTGGGAGCCTGGAAAACATTAGTCAAAGCAGTTCACAAGCCTTCAAGGTGAATAGCAATATCAGTCTAGAACCAGGTATCTGAAGGCTAATGGAAGAACATTGCAGGGTGGGAGGGTGGTTGAGTACAGCAAAGGGGAGGAAGGAAGCATTCTGTTAATCCATTTTGTTTACACGTTAGACCTTACACCAGTCCTGCTGGAGCTACCCTATAAATGACAAGTATCCATTCACTTCTGTGTGTAGTCTGTAGAGAGCTGCTGGATGGAAGGACACACCTCTCTGGAGGTCTGAATCCACCAGTGGCTCTAAGGGAGAAAGATGGACCTCTGCCCCCAGTGGGGGGGGGGCGGGTGGTACAGCCTCAGAAACCCGCTGGAGGGTCAGCTACAGTCAGTACCATCGCCATGGTAAGGAGTTGTGTCTTTGTTCTTCCCTTTCTGTGGTTCTCTGCTTCCTTTTCTGTAACAAGAAGGGCTTGAACAAGACCCTCTCCTGAGTACCTTCCAGTTTTGAATTTGTATCCACAGTCTTGATCCAGAAACTCTAAAGATAGCTGCTAAAGCCACTCAGCCCATAGTCTAGGTTGTGCTGGGGGTGGCTCCTTCATGGAGAGGCCGGTACCCTAGCACCAGGAAGGGCTGCCTCTGGGTCAGACAGACCTGGAGCTGAACCTTTCTCTTCAGCCAGGAGTAAGTTCCTTTTATTCTCTCAATTTCCACACCCTGGTTAGTTGTGAAGAGTTATGCTGCTAACAGAAAGGCCACACCTCTTTGGCAGTTTAAATCCACCAGCTGCTCCTGAGGAGAAAGATGGACAGTCTCCTTCTGTGCGGTTTCCAGCATCCACAGAGCCCACTGGAGGGTCAGCTGTGAATCGGTTCCAATTCTATAACAATGAGTTTGAGTAATATTTTGTTGTTAATTTGCAAAATAATGATAATATTGGAATCCACTTTCCTATGTTGTGTGTTTTAACGAGTAGAATACATATATAAAAATATATAATATAATTTGTGTATCAGGCACATAGCAAGCACTAATAAAATCAGTTATTCTATTAACATTTTTAAAATAAGAATATTTAAAGCCTCAAATTTTTATGTCTTTATTGGATTTATAGAATATATTGCAATTGAATCACACAACTTGTTTTATAAACAAACCAACCAGCCCCATGTGTCTTATCTTGTTCTGACAAGAATGAATCTCAACTCATGCAACTTTCTTCAGTAGTCATACTAAACACTCATAACCTATAGCCATGTCTCTAACCCTAACATATTCTCTATCCTTTTCAATTTGTAAACCAGAAGAGTAATGATGGAGCAGGTCCTAAGGCCATAGCCTCATTTTTACATCCCCTTAGGCCAATCTGCGGAGATCTTGGCTGGCTCTTCACGTGGCCCTCTGCCCGCCTAGTTTCTCTCCTACCGGGCTGATGCCACCGTTTTTAGCGCTCCTCTTTTCACCCTGGCTGATCTCTACAATCTCATCTCGCTTGTTTAAACTATGCTTCCAACTCAGAAGCCCCTGTTAACACTTCTTCCAGAAGCAGGACGCCCAGCTTCACGCGGACAGGCCGTGCGCTGCGCACCCGACCGCAGAGCCCAGTTCCAGCCGAGAGGGCACGTCACCTGGGTCTGGGTGGGGCACCAGGTTGAGGGCAGCCTCCTGTCTTTGGGTTTGCTCCCCCGCAGGGGACACCGTAGGCGGCTGTGCGGTCCAGCCACTGCCCCCCGCCCCTCGCGTCCGGCCGCGCCGTGGGTTGCGGTCTACGTGGGGGAGGCAGCTCCTGCCCAGGAGGTTCGCGCCTGGTGGGGCACCCCGGAACCGCGGGGAGCCCGGAGGCGAAGCCAGGGCGGGGTGAGGCCGTCCCTGCGGGGTGGGGGTGGCAAGCCCAGGGCGCGCAGGGGGCGCAGAGGGCAGCGGGCGGGGATGGGTGGCTGGTGCAGGGGCCGCCCGCCCGAGGGGGAGGAGGCTGCGCACCCTGCCTGCAGGTTCGCTGCGAGCGCACAGGAGGCAGGGACACGGGCAGGGTGCGGCCGGCGCGGGGCCCGAAGCGCTTCCATT